GGGCTGGGGAAGGGGAAGGGTAGTGGAAAGGTGGGGGAATGGGAGAGGTGGATGACAAGAGGATAGACAGGGGGGGTCCGGGAGGGAGAGGGAGAATAAATAGAGGGTGGGGGAATGGGGAAGGGAGGGAGGGGAAGGGGTAGTGGCTGACTATAGAGTGGGAGAAGGGGGAAGGGAGAGATGACTCTGGGGGGGAGGGGAAGCTGGGGGGGGGGTGTAGCATAACATGAGAGTGGGGGAAGAGGTGAAGTATAAGAGACTAGGGAAAGGGGAGAGGGGGGAAGGGCGTGGAGGATGGGAGGGGACTGGAAGAAGCACATGAAGAGATCCTAGTGATATGAATAGTACGGTTGTAGAGTTTGGCGAAAACCGTTAACGAAGATATGATCGGAATTCCAATTAAATTTCAATATTAATATCCTACTTTCCTTTCTAATATATCGTGACTTTGCCGCTTCTGCCATTTGTTGTTTGATAATCGCATTCCCAAAAAGGCAGTGTGCAGGTGAGAGAGAAAAAGTATGAGAGAGAGAGTAGGAAAGAGAGAGAGAGAGAGAGAGAGAGAGAGAGAGAGAGAGAGAGAGAGAGAGAGAGAGAGAGAGAGAGAGAGAGAGAGAGAGAGAGAGAAGAGAGAGAGAGAGAGAGATAGAGATAGAGATAGATAGATAGATAGAGAGAGAGAGAGAGAGAGAGAAAGAAAAAGATAGAGGTAGAGGGATAGTGGGAGAGAGGAAAAGAGGAAGGGAAGAAGAGAGGAAGGGAAGAAGAGAGGAAGTGAGAGAGAGATAGAGAGAGAGAACACGAGAGAGCGAACGAGAGAGAACCCGAGAGCGAGAGCCCGCCAGAGTATCCTTCCCCAAAGGGTTCGGACACAGCAGCCGCGGAAGTGACCTGAGTGCTTCCTCTTTACCTGCCTCGGACCACACGAAGCAAGGATGCAAAATGAGGTCCTTCAACAGCGCTCTATGTCATTCCTCAAATCTATTCCGGCAAGTCTAATAGGCCTATATTTTTTAAAAAAGCATTCGTGATTCAGCGACATTTAAAAAAAATATATATTTTGAACGGATGATTTTGGAATCCGGCGAAAGAAAAGGGGCGGAGGTATTGTGTGGTATTCAGCTTCCTTCCCGTGACAGGTGGGCATCGGAGACACGAAGGGGTTGCCAGTTAGTGTTTTGTTGTGGTCGTTTGTGTACACGCATTCTTCTGCGGACACAAACGGAAGGGACATTACGTATGTACGCCACTGCATATACGTACAAGTAAATGTGTACGTATGTACATAGTGCGCATGTATACACACTTAAAACGTCGAGTATATTCAGTAACTTCCATATAGGGAGCATTGTGAATAAACTTCGATTGAAACAAGTAGTTATCAACATTAGTACAAACCTACACCCACACACGCACGCACACACCCATAGACAACACACCCACAAAAAACACGCACTCATAGATAACGCACCGACAAACACCCCCACACCTCCCCCTTCCCTCAACCCTCCCCCCCTCCCTACACATAACCAAAGGAAACGCAGCGCCTCACCCACGCGACCGTTAACAGGGTCATGCATTTTCGCCAAAGACACAGCGGAGAACGACCTATGTACGTGGGGCGTAAAGACGTAGGGTGATTTACCTCATTTACATATCCTTTGAGTAAGTTTTTTTTTTTTAATAGCTTAGAATCTTATTTTTGAAGATCTCACCTCCTTTCTTTTCTTTCTTATCCCGCCATCTTCCCTTCTCCTTTCCTCCTTATCTGTGCTCCCCTCTCCCATTTTTTTGAAATCATGCTCTTTTTTCTTTATTCCTTTTTCCTTTTCTCCTCCCACTCTTTCTTAGTTCTCTTCGTTCCACTTAACTCGTTTGTCCTCCTTCCTCCCACATTCTCTTACTTATCTGCTTCCTCTTCCTTCCTTTCTTCCTTATCCCCCTCTCCTTCCCTTCTCCCTGTCTTCCCCTCTTTTGTTCCTTGCTCCCTTTCTCTCTCCTTTCTCTCTTCCCCCTTTTCTTTATTCCTCAACCCCTTCCCTCCCCGTCCTTTCTTGCTAATCTCCTACCTCCTCCGTCCTTTCTTCCTTATCCTTTCTCCCGCCATTCCCTTCCTTTCTTACTTATCCCCCTCTCCTTCTTTCGTCTTTACCTTCTCCACCCTTACTTTCTTCCTTCCTTCCCTCTTCCACCTCATCCTTCCTTTCTTCCTTACCGCCACCACCCTGCTTCCTCCTCCTCTCTTCCTTATCCCTTCCCCCTGCCCCCCACCTTTCTTCCTTATCCCCCTCCTCTTTTCCTCCTCCTCCTCCTCTTCTCATCCTTCATAAACAAATAAAAAAAACAGGAAAAAAACACAAAAACACGCAACTTAATTCCACGGAAAGAGAAGATCCTGTAAACATGAATAACGCCGAGGATTAAGCAGGCGCGTGAATGCAGCGGATTTACACGAACGCGGGGCAGTCCTCCTCTCCCACTTTCTGTTTTTTTTTATCTT